CCTACATGTATTTGTTAAATGTAAACAATGTTTGTAAATCCCAGGCCCTGAAGATGATCTCAATAAAGATCGAAACGTTGGCACGATAAAGAAAATGTTTTTCTGAAACTTACATCACACCAGACCGCTTCTCACGATTTCTAAATAATTATTATTTATTTTTAAAATTTGGAATAGAATATGGCGTAGCGCGGACAGGAGTTCCTGTTGCCATTCTTAAAGCCCTATCCTTCGGTCACCTGGATTCTCCGAATCTATGTTTCTGCCCTGCGTACCAAAGCATGAATATATCAATTTCAGTCTGATGAGGGATAGGTACATCAATCTTTTTGTTTAGAGAGATAAATGACTTATTTCCTTACAATGGTTTCAATTAGTGGGATTTTCTGTCTGAACTTTGTGACAAAGTTAATAATATATACTCTTAAACACTTATCAGTTTCATGCCAAAAGTACAAAATAGCTTGTTGGTATAATTGCCCCATTATGGTTGAGATTATTGGTGCATCTCTGTCTACAAGCAGTAAATAGGACCACCGCTGACCTGAGAGGCCATGTAATCCAAAATTACCATCTCCATGAGAGACGTATTATATATTTTTATAACCAAAATTCAAAAATTATTTAGTTTCTAATTACAGTTATTACTGTTGATCTTTTACCGGAAGAGAGGTGTTGTTCTCGTGGTACTGAAAGTAGCCAACTGGCTGCATAGACATGGTCTTGGTACCGTTGTCATCCATGTCGTCGAGGAGTGCCACCACGCTGAAATTTCCTTCTGCATCCCCGTTGCTGTCTATGTATACCTTGAAACACAAAGACGATATAGATTCATAAAAATTCTTACAATAAAGGAGACAGAAAGAACTTCTGGTAAATAGAATATCTTGGAAAAGTGTGTGGGGTATTTGATCAAAGCGCGAATTTTGACACTTAACAGCAAATGCAGACAATCCAGTTGGTATTGTTTCATTTTAAGGCTAATTTATTAAGAAGCTCCTTATCGTTCGATTTGTTGCTATTTTATATAGAAAATCTAGTTTTCCACTTTCCATGCTAGTTCTTACGTCGTGTCCTTGGACTGAATGGTACGTCCTGTTGAGGATTTTTTTCAGGATCGCTGTCCCGTTCCTTGGATCTTCGCCTTCCGCGAACACTTCCGTGAGAGCCCTTGCGTAAATCATGACTGCGTCGTACAAGTGAGCGGCGGTAATCGGCACGGATATGCTGTCGAAGATCTTGCTGTGGTACGGCACGCAGAAGGGCGGCTGAGCCGATATCCTTCTCACCTCTTCGCTTATAGCGCTGAAAAATCAGTTTTCTTCTAATTTTTAAGCAATATCAAGTACGTATGATCGATAGAAGATTATTTCGTAAGGGGGAAAAATAATGAATTTATAAAATATTGTTTGTGATTATGTATGTGTGAGTGTCAAAAAGAAGATAATTGCTAAAATAAATCAGTGAGATGTGTACAAAATTTACAAAAAAGCTAGAGCAAAAATCTGGAAATATCAACATGTTAAAACAATAACATAGTTCCCAAAACTCTGCACTAGATACAGGTCATGAACTAGCATCGTTAGATTAAAAAAATATTTGTAGGATATTTTATAAAAGACCAAAAATTGTCAGATAAGACAAAAAGGCAACAAAAATATCAGAAAAAATGGAAGACAATTTTGTTGTTATTAAATTAATTTTGTTTGTTGTAAATTTTGACATAATTCTTCAAGGTAAATAATTATTGATCTTATAATCATTTAAATTATTATGAACCTACATAAACCATAACTGATGAAGGCCGTTAAAAAATATTAACAATATGAAAAACAATTAGTTAAGGTTTTTAGTTGAGATGAAAAAAAGCTAATGGCACGAGAGGGATTCGAACCCACGATCTTCGACTTGATACGCAGCTGCTCTACCACTTGAGCTATCGTGACCTCGATCCACTCGGACACCAACTTCCCATCTCAACCGCACCTTTTGAATTTTCCCTCCTTTTTGCCATTTTTTATATAATTAATTGTAATATATCAATTGGTCAAGCGGACCACGAAATTAGTGAATTGAATATGAAAAAGTATTATTTCCGTGTAAGGTCTTGGTTGAGATAAAACAAGTCAGTGTCACGAGCGGGATTCGAACCCACGACTTTCGGCTAAATACGCCGCTGCTCTGCCACTTGAGCTATCGTGACTTCGATCCACTCGGACACCATCCTTCGATCCATCTCAACCTACAACCTTTCCAATTTTCCCTCCTTTTTGCCATTTTCAAATGTTGTGAAATCAGGATTGGATTCTCAGCGATTTATGAAGCGGCCACGGGGAGCTGTTAGTGAAGTGATACTTCTTTTACTTATTAAATATTAATCCATTTACGTTTTAATGGTCAATTGACAAAGTTACTTCTTTCAATTAATTGTTCTTTCTTTTACCTCAACGAAGACCTGACATGGTAAGAATAATTAATTGAAAGAAGTAACTTGGTCAATTGACCACTAAAACATAAATGGATCAATATTTAAAACAACTTCTGAAATTTTTGAATATGGCGTTTCAGATATGAGACAACTTTTTGTTGACTTGAACTGAAGTATAAAAGTACTCACTTGTATTTGGGATTTCTTGGATGAGAAGGCGTTAGCTTAAGTACTGACCGAAACGCAAGTGTATGATTTGCATCCGTATCGATGAAAGGATCGATGTACGCTGAAAGTTAAAAGAAATATACACACTTATTTTTGTTCATCAAGGCGTTTTTTGTGCTCAAGAGACCTAAATTGCATCTGTAATTATTTTCAACTTGAACTTTACTCGCCCGTAAAGGCGATTTTGTTGCTGATTATGTTGAATTAATAATTCATGAAGCCATTTAAGCATCAAGATTAAAAGATTATTTCTATTTATTCATAAGGATTGATCATAAAATGCATAGAGGAATTACTTTGAAAAAATGATTTTTTATACATTCTTACAAACAAATGAGAAACGTTTTACTATTTTATACTAGTTTTTATTAGTTCATTGATCGATACTCATAAAAAGAAAGAAAAAGTTTAAAGTTCCTTTTAAGCTTAAAGAATTGTAAATAACGTAATAAATTACAATTAACGTGTGGAGAAGTTAGTACTTATTTTTTAAGTTTAAATAATAAAAATACGATAAACATTAATCTCATAAAGTGATAAGCCGTGTTTTAAGAAAATTCATCGGAAACTGTCGTCATATTTACCGGCAAAAAGAGAAGTATGAAGGTTCGTTAACAAAAGTTGTTCAATTACGAAGTTGATGTTTTTTTTTATGACACTGAGTTTTCGCGTAGACGGGGTTTGGCCTAAACATCAATGAAATAATAGTGTTTTTGAAAAATAATTTACAAATACAATGCATAAATGCTCCGATGAGAATTATGAATGGAGGAAAATCGCGTAAGTAGTGCTGTTTGTGCAATGCTGTAGAACATTTTTTCCCCTTTATTTTAGTTGAAGTTGCTTATTTTACTTTAGTTTTAGTTAGAGCAGATCTGACAGACTGACTGGTTTTGTCTAGGATCAAGTGAAGTATGTTTCCAGGTAAGTATCCTCCTAGAAAAAAGAAAAAGTGGAAAAGAGTTGTTAAAGGCTGTTTCTTTCAAATTAAACCGTTCGCCTTCACAGTTACCTTTTATCAATTTCAAATTAACTTTTCGGTTAAATCATTAAAAACATAAAAACCTTGTAAAAATTAATCACAATTAAAATTCCAAGTTATAATAAAAACAAATGGTTCTTATATTTTTTCGATTTTTTTAAAATATAGAGTAACTTGTTTATAAAATAATTATTTTTACATTTAAAAAATCTCGAATTGATAGACGAATAATTTGTTTTTATATTTAATGTTACATAATTTTTAATGTAATTAAATTTAATTTAAATTAAATTAAATTAAATTTTTTTTTAAATTCTCATGGCAGAACAAAGCTCAGGTTCATGTCCAGTTTTGAAACTGAAAATTAGGGTAACGTACAATTTTATTTCTTACTATTTTTAATAAAACTAATTGAACGAACGAGAGGTCGAATCGGGAAAGCAGACAAAGATTATAAATTTCAGTAGAAAAAATATTAAGATCAGATAAAGTTGAAAGGTTAAAAATACAGTATTTCCTCTAGGAAAAAAATAATTTGTGCAAACTTTAATAAAACGTTTCGCCATCCATTTATCGCCTTACGCGTGGGAAGTAGAAAGCCCCAGGGAAGGAGGGGCTTATTTGAAGCAGCTTTAATTGGAGGATTTACGGGGACGTGAAAACACCCTTATCGTGCCCAATTTTGTTAGGTTTTAAATCCTTACCTCTCAGCAGTATGTTTTTCTTTTTTGCCGGGTTGTATATCTCATCGTCGACCGATATGACGATGTATTCGCCGTTCTCGAGGAGCTTGCGAGCCTGGAGACAAAGGACGAAGTCGACAAGAGCGACGTGCTCACCGATGAAAACGTATACTAAAAAAAAATAATAATAATAATAAAAAATAGTGCACAGTTATATTTATTTTATTACGCCTTAACATCCAAGTATTAAAATAATCGCAGTTCAAGAAAGTTTCAAAAATCAGAACACGATTTGTGGCTTTATCGTTTAGGATCATTTTACTTTGCCTACCATTTTTATTTTGGCCTGTCAGGCGAGTATTTGAATTTCGCCATCTAAGATCGTTAATATAACCTTTATTTCATCAAGTCGAGTCTGTTTTATACACTTTTAAAATTATAGGGAGATAATTATGTGTTTAGTTGTGTGCTTATAGGTCCTCATGTTGATTGTGTTGTGTTTGTTTAGTTTTGGGTTTTATAAAATTAACTGCGTCTGTCAGATTCGGTCGTTAATCTTTAAATTATAGTTTCTCCTTTTTTATTCACCCAAGTTTCAAGGATTTTTGCTCCCTTTATCTAGATAGCAGGAGAGAAGACACTTTGAACTATATTTATCATCCGTCTCGTTCACTTAAAGCTTTAAAAGGTAATGTGAAATCATAAAGTTGAAAACGGGGAATGATAAAGTAAAATAAAGGATTGGTATTGTATTAAACACTGGATCTTCCGGGGGAAATTGGGTAACGTCAAATTCTGTTTTCTTCTTGACAAAATTGCTAAATATACTCAAAGGAAAAACCCGGATACTCGTATTTTATATAATTGGAAATAAACCCACCTTGTTTATTTCAAACTATATGTATTTTTACAGTTACAATATGCTTAATTCAAAGTAAACCAAATATAAACTGTTCAAAAATGAATAGGGATATTTGTAATTTATTCTTATTCTATTAATTTTAATTAAATTAACCGATATATTCTTGTTAGCTGGATAAAACGAAATAGAAAATACAAACCAAAAGTTAAAAAAAATGTTAATCCTCATTTTTAATAACGGATTTACTTAGCAATAGTAAACGTGAAGATTACTCATTTTGTAAACAAACACCTTTTCTCGTCTTTTCTCCATTTTAATTGTTTTTGTTGTATTTTCTTTAACTATGGAAAAAAATTATCTTGAACGAAGAAGTTCGCAATATTACTGTGAGAATGTGTCATCGAGGTCACCTGCAAGTGGATATGGCAGAGGCAGTTAGCGTTTCTCAGAGTCAATTAATTAAGGTTTTTAGTTGAGATGAAAAAAAGCTAATGGCACGAGAGGGATTCGAACCCACGACCTTCGGCTAGATACGCCGCTGCTCTACCACCTGAGCTATCGTGACCTCGATCCACTCGGACATCAACTCCCCATCTCAACCCCACCTTATGAGTCTTCCCTCCTTTTGCCATTTTTCAAATGAGATGGGGAGTTGATGTCCGAGTGGATCGAGGACACGATAGATCAGTTGGTAGAGCAGCGGCGTATCTAGCCGAAGGTCGTGGGTTCGAATCCCTCTCGTGCCATTAGCTTTTTTCCATCTCAACTAAAAACCTTAATTAATTGTCATGTATTAATTGGTCAAGCGGACCACGAAAGTAGTGAATTAATGTTTCTCAGAGTGTTTCTCAGAGGCTGGAAGTGCCAATAAGAAGCCTGGATCTCAGCGCATTATGAGGCTAAGGGAGGACAGAAATATGTCATTGCGACAAGACGGAACCCATTCCATAGTGTTTCTGTCTGTACAGTGATAGTAGAAGAAGCTGGAACTCACAGACATAAACGCGACTCATCAGTAAACGTAACAACATTGCAATTGTTGTTCTCTCCTCTTGCACCATATTCTTCTGAGTTGCTGGTGGAGGGCTGTTGCTGCAGGCCGTCTCAAAGGGACATGTGAGGCCAACTTCCCACAAACGATTACGAATCTTTTGTGTTGATAAAGTCCTTGCCAAAACATGATGTATTTCATTTAGGATCTGGCGGACACTATGGAAAGAGCAATGACAATATTTCTATCCTCCCTTAGCGTCGTAATGTACTGAGATCCACTACCCGACCTCCTATTGTCACTTATAGTTTCTCAGAATCGGGCTAAAGACCACGCTCTGGGAAACGCCAACTGCCTCTGCGATATCCACTTGCTGGCAACCTCGATGACACGTTCTCACAGTAATATTGCGAACTTCTTCGTTCAAGATAATTTTTTTCCATAGTTAAAGAAAATACAACAAAAACAATTAAAATGGAGAAAAGACGAGAAAAGGTGTTTGTTTACAAAATGAGTAATCTTCACGTTTACTATTGCTAAGTAAATCCGTTATTAAAAATGAGGATTAACAAATTTTTTATTTTTGGCTTGTATTTTCTATTTCGTTTTATTCAACTAACAAGAGTATATCGGTTAATTTAATTAAAATTTATAGAATAAGAGCGCAGTTTTGTTTTTGGTAGAAAGTTCAAAATGTGGATCAATATGCACAAAAGGGAGATAATTTAAATAGACTCAACGAGCCACCTTGATAAAGGGGACTAAGATGCCGAAACGTTGTTGAATAGAAAGGAAAAAGTGCAAACTTCGAATAATTTTTGTCTGCCCATTTTCGTAGTTTTGATCTGTCAGACACGTATCGCCTTTTTTCTAAATTCAGCTGTTAGTTTGGGCGCATTCTCGTGTTTGTTCTTTGAATAGTTGGATTTTTTATTTAGTGGGTTACTCTAGATTTTTTAATAAGGAGTTTTACTACTGTGTCTGTCTTTAATACACTGTTTAATACACTTTAATAAATGATTTTTAGTATAGTTTAGATGTTTCTTTTTGATGTGTCGGTTTATATTTCTAAATATATTTTGTTTTCTGGTTAATTGATTGTTTATATGTTGTAGTCATGGATGTGGTTTTTAGTCATTGGAATGTACTAAGGCGAGTATTTCATTTCATTCAATTAAAGCCATTGTTTATATGCGTGTTTTTCAACAATTTTGATTAGTTCTTTTGGCCGAAGTAGTTTTCAATTCCTCTACTTTACATAATTGATCAATAAAATTCAATTAGTTTTGTTGTGTTGTAGTTTGTATTTTATACGAAAGTTATTGTGGGTCCTTTCGCCAGTTTTATCATAGCAACTCTGGATCTCCAACATATCTGGTTTTTAATAATTTTAACAAAGGTAACGTTATTTGAACGTACTTTTCCACTTTTACATACGAGAGCTAAATTTTTGAAAGGTAGTTCTAAATGGCGTTAATTGACGGTTTTAAGTCTAGTAATTTGACAATAAAAAATTTACTTGTTTTGAATGGTAATTAAATTTGTTTTATATAAAATAACAATATTAAAGTTTAAATAATTCAACTATGTATATCGACTATTTCCTACTAACTAATTAAAGATGTTTTTATTGTACCATCACTCAAAAACTTTTCAATCCATTTTCCTGAAGCTTTTCAATCATTCAGTTGATTATAATTAACTTTCATCGCAAATATGTATACTTTCACTGAACAATTTTCCGGTAAAGCGAGGAGTTCAATCAGTACAATTTTAGCGGCGCTTATGAATGTTTGCAACCGATGAAATCAACTCAGGCTGTATTTAATAGTTCAGTTTTATTATTCGGCAGAAATGAACGTTTACCTCTTGGAAAACAGGTCATAACCAAACGCTTCTCATCATGACAAGCATAATGATCGTTTTTAAGTCAAATACTGAGAAGCGTGCTTGACCAATGGGGGTTGATTTGGTTGAAAGGAAAGAGGGAAAATAATACGTAAAGTCTCAAATAGCTTGTCGGAAAACAGGTAATGGATAGAACCATCTAAACAATTTCGAATATTAAAACCTAGTACTAACGAGTAGGCCTCGTGGAGTCAGCCTATTTCAAGATCCACCACGGGATTCAAACCCAGGACTTCGTCACTGTCAGATCTAGAGGAATATTTTAAGTTTATACAATTTTTTAAATATTAATCAATGCTTTAGGCCGTATGGTGTCATAAAAAATACTATTACGGCAAGCTAACCAGAACAAAAAATAAGCAAAAGCTATAACCATAACCATCCCTAAGGTGGAGACGCTCATATCTCCAGGGAACACAGTCTACAGATGATATTAAAATTGGCGATTGATCCATAAAGAATGATGGGAGTGCCTCAAGCGAGCATATAGGCTTGCTATTGTTTCTGCTCTATGTTAACCTACTGCCGCTTACATTAGTGCCATTGATTGCTTCATAACTAACTACCACTTATATGACGTGAATTCACTTTTAGAAATTACAACTGCAAAATTGAGGTGTTTGTCCTTTGCAACGTGCATCACGGTTGTTCAAAGCTCTCTATGCTACGCCTAGGTGGAAAGGGAACATTGGCTGATTTGGTCTGACCTTTAGGCATTATGCCATAAAACTGTCGTCAAAATATCTTTGTGTAATAGTAACGCGTATGTTTCACTTTCAAAAATTATTCTCAAGAATTAGAAATTCGAGCAGTTTCGTGAACAAATTTCATTGTATTTTTCCGTTCGGGAGCGTAGGGGTTGACCTCTTCTGCACTTAAATTTGCCACTATTGTGTTCGAGCTTTATGGTTTTCCTTGAAGATTTTCGTTTCTTTAATAAAGTACAGAATTCTCCTCAGGGGTATGGTATCGGGCATAAATTGCCTAGTATGCCTTTACTAGGTACCATAACCTTTTCCTAGCATATTCCTGCAGGCAGTTGCATAGTATATGCTCTGAGATAACTATTTCCTCTAGAAATAATCAACACTTGTCATCTGTTAATAGTTGTATTCTTTAATAGCACACGTTTCCAATTTTTTTTAATGTATCTACAGTTTATCCCACAAAACAAATTTGGACCTCCGTGTTGTTCCTACATTCCTATTTTAACTAGCATATCTGATGCCTCGTTGTCTGACATTCTCTCATGATCTTGATGAATTTTTGAGGGGAATTAACCATTTTAAGAGTATTTTTCCCTACTAATTTTGGGTTGAAATCGTCGGGTTTGGAGAGCCTTTAGAGCTGCCTGGTTATCTGACGGTATTATTATAGTCGTACTCTTAAAATCGTTATTTATTTTATGTTTACATGTTTATGATGTATCCCAGTGCCTCATACACCTATTTATGCCTATTCTCTTACCATCTCCCATTGAGAAAAACGCCGAGGATAGTAGACTAAGATTATCGGAAAGGATGGTTTCATTGCCATAAGTGATACCGTTTGTCTTGTCAGACTTTGTAAAGTTTGTCCAAAACATTTACGAATTTGCAAAATAGTTGATATTTACTTCCACTACTGACGTGAATTTCCAGTGTGAAAGGAAAAGTGAAAAATCCCAATAAATTTTATTCATTCATTTGCGCTGCGTAGAAGTCACCACTAAGGTATTCAACAGGATTTGACACAAGTCTTGTACGGCATAATAATTCAACCAATCGAACAGAATCGATATGATACGTCTGAGGGCAAATATTATTGAAACCGCACGAAAAAAACCCCTCATGGTTTACTGCCTTCATTTGTCAATATTTGCGATATTCGAATCAATATCGGGGTTTCGTTTGATCGATGGTGAATTTACTTACCCCTAGTCCTGTGAAACGAATCTGCGACGAGTTTATCCATTTTCTTTATGTCTTTAGGAATGTAGTTGCTGAACTCGTAGACATCCGTGACCGTTATGTTATTTTTATTGGCCAACCACTGAAAAACAATATGTGTCATTATTTTTGTAAAAACCAGAAAGGAAATTAAATAACTTTAGAAGAATGTTGTATACATTTTATTCTACAAGTTAAATTAGGGCTTGTATTCCTCGATAATTTCGTAGACATAACGGACTGCGGTGAGGTTGCCTTCAACAATATGGAGACCAGTTCCTCCTCGTGTGTAAATCCCAGCCCAGACGACACGGCCTCCTCCAAACTGTACTGAAGGGAGCACGAACTGGGGCATTTTATGTATCTCCAGTTAAAAAAAAAAAGACAGAGCTAAAAAAACTACTGGAAGACCTGCTAAAACCTCAGATATTACTTAGAGGTTTTAGCACCGGACAAAGCCACTGATTACTCTCTAAGGAAGGCAAACAATACACAAATAAATAATAAAAGGACCAACTGCCTAAATTGCTCCATGAAAAAGAAAACAGTGCAGGGTGAGGACAAAGAAACAACACGAAAGAAAAAAGTGAAGAGTGCCACCCATCTCGCCAATATTATCAAACAAAATGAAAACATGAATGGCAACGTACGAGAAATAACGACTAGTTGAAAGGAAGAAAATGGGTTGGTTACACCTAAAGAAATAGCACAACAAATTAAAAACCTAATGCTAGAACCACTCCAGAAGCTCACCTCAGCAGTGGAGAAATATGAAAAACAATTAAGGTAACCAACCTTTTCAATGCGGCAATCAGGCTACATTGGGTTTCCAATTTCTGAAAATTTGCAGAAGTACCGGAAAACCGCACCGTATCGTAACTACCGACAATCTGTAAACTTTTCGAAAAGATTCTACTAAAAATATAGAAAATTATCTTAGACCACCAGATTTGGCTTTCGACCAAAATACTCACACATTGACCAAATTCACCAATAACAGATCTAATAGAAAAATATGCTGAAGAAAAATTCATTTATTGTGCTATCTTTTTTTATGTATCACAAAATTTTGACAAGGCCTGTATGAAGGACTTATAAGTAAATTAATAAGGATGCTACCAAAACAGTATGTAATACTATCTACTTAAATGAAAAATATTCTACAGTTGAATAAGAAGGTCAATTTATACATGGAAAAATCAATAGGGAAGTAGCCCAAGGGAGCCCCTAAGCTCCAACTTACGCGCTATACATCAGCGATTTACCAAAAATGATTGGGTAAAAATTGCAAAAATGCATACAGCGTTGAAGTCAACAGGACTCACTGTCAATTATTCTTGTAAAATCGTTCAAAAGGCTTACAATAAAAAAAAATCAATGGACAAAAATTGGAAAGTCAATTACCATCGATGGAGACATAGCAAAAAGTATCACAGCTAAATATTTGAGCGTGACCATGGATGCCAAGGTGATTGGAAAGATCACGTAAAGAAAAAAAAAGAGTACAAAAATGAAGTTTAGCTATACTGATTGCTAGGACGCGACTCCAACCTCACCGTATAAAATCAAATTCTAATATACAATCAAATCTTAAAGCCTACGTGGACTTATTATACACAAATGTATGGTTGTATCAAACAAAACAATATAAAACTACGTAACATGTCCAATGCACCATGGTAAGTAAGGAATAAGGATTTACAGAAGTCACGGCGGAAATAAAAAAAAAATCCAGAAGTCAGTTCCAACTTTTAGGTAGAAACAGGAGTGCTTCTCGGAAGTTAGATGCCGTTGTAATATAAGCATTAGGAAATTGAGTGTATTTATTAGCGTAAATGTGCAGTGCAAACTTGGTGGAATATTAAGCACCCTTGGGGGACCGCGGTAGCCGAGTGGTAAGCTTGAAAAACTCTCGGCTCGTAGACCCCCGCGGTCGTGGGTTCGATTCCCACCGTGGCCTCTGAAACTTTTTCACCAACTCTCCTACACAGCAAAAAATATGACTAAAACCTCCTTAAATAGATCTGTATACGTATTATTTTACATATAGGAATATAAAAAAAGAGTTCCCTACTTGCGTGTTTAGTAGGAAAAAGTGTGTTTAAGAATTAAGAATGAGTGAGAGTGTGACATGAAAATATATTTTCGTTAAAATGTGTAACCATTGGAGTTGAAATGAAGATGTCTGTAACCCCGGAGCCTAAGACATTAGTCTGAACTGAACTGCCGACAGGAACGTAGCAAATAAGAAACGAAAAAAATTGAAACGACAATGACTAAATCATGTAATAAAAGATCGTTCAGTATTTCAACATTGGTACCAATTATAGATAACGATATCGCGTTGGTCAATTCCTGGTACCTTATTTACTTTCAGCACTCCTTTCGGATCTGGTGTTTTCACGAGGTCAATTTCCGCTACTTTTTCTCCTTTATTAAATTGCTAAGTGATGCTTATAACTCAGTCGTGTCAATTTGGTGAGAAGAGTTAGAAGAACACCGTGATATTGACTTTTTACTTTGCTTTTTTAAGGAAAGCAGGACGTCAGTCGTTTTACTCTATAAAAATACACATTTTCCTGAACCAATATCATGGGTTATGTTCATGACATCAACAAAATTACAAATGGAGTTTGTTTAGTAAATGTTACTGAATAAGGTAGAAATCTTTACCAATTTAAAAAAAATCCCATTCCTATTCAAAAACATCATGTTTCAGCCATATAATAGTTTATCGATAATAATCCCCGTCATATATAGGAAAAAAATGAGTTCTACGTTGGAGACCAAATTATATGGATGTACCCACAAAAAAAAAGCAAATTCCTAAATCTAATAGAACAGGTAATGGTACGAAAGAACCAAAAAACATAAAATTCGGTTGTCAAATTTTAATTATATATAGCCCATTAATGCTAAAAAATTTCCATAAATGGGGGAAAATTCTAATCGAAAAAGCTCATAAATTTGAAACTTCTGGAGTCGGTGGTGCTGGCGTCGCTACACGACGGAGCGGGCTGCCTTTCAAACGGACTTTTCAACTTCAAAGGTTTTTCTCCTTGTCACACAGCACACTTATAAAGTTCAGAAATGAAATGTAAAAAAACGCTGCTTGGAAAGAAGAACGCTAACACAGACTCTGGACTGAACTCGAGAAAAGCCACAACTAGATTGAAAGCGGAAAATAAGTTTTCTCGAGAATGTGACGGCAAGATTTGCTGTCCCCAGTTAAAAAGAATCAATAAAAGAAGGGTTAAGTCGTTACAGAAGTCGAAAAACCAAAACGCCATTCAAAAAAGAAAAGAGTGAGTTCAATCTACTTGGACTCCTGAAATCCCTCGAATTTTCTTAATTGGAATTTTCTAAAAACCATTATTTTAACTAGGAAATAAAGGACTTCACTAAAATAATTATAGAGTTCTATTCAGAAATGAATTCTCTACAAAATTAACAAAGAAAAAATATAATTTTTGTACAGACGTCCTGCTCCCGTTAAGATCCAATGTGTATAAAGCTATTTTATTGTTGGTAATGTTGTATGCAAATATCGTTTTTATTTATTCGTTTTTTTACCGAATATAAACACCTGTGTTCAAAGAGGAGAACCTGTCAAGTATAAACCAATTAACCATTGAACGATATTTTGTTTAAATTTAAAATATTCCTTTAGATACTTGCGAACGTTGTGAAACATCAAACGTTTGTCAATAATAAACTGTTATTCAAATGTAGTTTTTCATAAATTTTTTATTACTACCAGTGATCTTTTACACTAAAGTTCCCATCTCGAATATTTTTTTCATGACATGTTGCAGCGGTTCCCCTTAACATTTGATTTGTTTTTGATATACTAGTTAGATTTATATATTCATTTTTATTTCAAGTTTTTTGCGAACTCGTTTATTAGTTAATTTTGTCTTATCTACGTCTTTCTGAACGTTAATTTAATGTCTAACGACGAGATGGTTCCAACCCCATGTGAAATGTTTTATTTAATTTTACTAATTTACAAATTTTCACTTTTGCGGCAACACTATGAAATAATTGATCTTTATATAAGGTTGAGATAAAAAAAGTCAGTGTCACGAGCAGGATTCGAACCCACGACCCTCGGCTAAATAACCGCTGCTCACTTGAGCTATCGTGACTTCGATCCACTCGGACACCAACTTCCCATCCCAATCCCACATTTCGAATTTTCCCTCCTTTTTGCCATTTTTTTTAAATCTCAACCAATACCTTATATAAAGATTAATTAATTGAAAAACGTTATTCGATCAATCGGACCTCGAACTATGATGAATTTAATAAGAAATTATTTTTTCAATACCTTTATGGCGTCTTTCACTTGTGGTGCCCAGGCAGGCATGGTGCCGGAGATGATGACGAACATATTCCAATCGAAGGCTTTCAACAGAGCCACAACGGACTTTGACACTTTTGTCGAAGGTGGAAGCGTTCTTGCAAATGTGTGGTAGACTCTCTTGTCAGATACAAGTCTATCTGCGCACCTCTAAACAAAGATGAAAAGAAATTCAATAATTTTTACAATAAATTACATCATAAGGTATTATAATGACTTTTAGATAACTAGCAAAGTGCTTCAAAAATATCGTCCGTAAATAGATAAATGTAAGTGTGCAAATTATAATGGAAATCACTTTCTTTTCAGTAATATATTTAGTTCTGAAGATAATAAATTGTCATGTTCGATCAAATCGATTCTATTACATCTACTGAAATTTATAACAGAAAAAGCAATTTTCCAAGTGCTCCAAGTGTGCAAAATACCCTATCGCAAATCAGGTTAAAATCACTCCCTGCAAGGAATGAAGGAGAAGGATCATCTGCGATTATCCTGGTCTGGTCTATTCTGGTTTCATTTGTCTGGTATTTATCACGGTTTCACCGTATTCAGTGGTTAGTCTGTGCGTTATTTTGGCAGACGTGTCCATTTTTATGTGGATAAAATGCGAAAAGGATGTGCGAGCGCCGACTTTTGAGGATTAAGTCTGTAGTTTGTTGTTCAGTTGTAATTCGACATAAACACATTTTCTTTCGTTCTCTATGTTCACTGTTCTTGTGCGGTACCAGACTTCCAAAAAAGTAAGGTTGCTTTGAAGATTACAGAGCTTACTCAGATGGTTGGTCTCAGAAGAGAAGTTACTTGTGTTGCCGGAAAAGGTGGATATGAAATGGAATATGTACTTGCGGAATTAGGAATATCGACAGTGAACTGAAAAAAGCCTTTGAGGAAAGAAGTTTCTGTTTAAAGATTACCTTGTGTACATAGATTTATGTTTGTTTTTCTCACCCTTTAATTTTAAGTTTAGTACATTTCTGGATGACTTTCAATGTTTGTATTTTTTCTCTCATAAAATTGAACAAAATCACAGCGTTTAGAAAATAAATTACTCATAAGTCGCAGGGTTAAGGTTTGACAAACGAGTGGATCCTGTTGCGATGTATCGTTGAGTAAAAGGATCTTTTTTAATAGGTGACACACGAAACTGATAACTTTTGTTGTTAAATAATAACCGTCTAATTTATTACAATGTATTTCACTAGCAGAGGTTGTGTTTTTCAACAATATAATATTTATTTTTAAACATTTGAAAATTATTTTGTTTTGAATTACCTCTTTATTTATTTTAAAAATATAGAAAATACCATTATGTACTATATTAGTTAATTTCTGTTTGATTTTTTGTTACTTTGAGTTGATGGTGGGTGTAATACAGAAACGAAAACAGTACCTCACTGATGGCGCAAGCCGAATCGCGGGTAAGTGGCCCATACCGGTTTAATTATTTAGCAAACATCATCTTTAAAAAAAATATAAAAATAAAAGTTCGTTGATTAAATATTAGAAAAATTGAAAGACAATAAAAATTATTCGAACGAAAAGCCCTTAACATAAAAGTATGTAATTTGGTCTACCTACCCTTGCTGGGGGGGGGGGGGGTTCTGTCAGACGAGTTTTATAACTCATCTTCAGTGAGTCGGCCAGACTTGTGAAAATAGATAAATAAAAAAGTTTATTCACGTGCACTTGATTTATTTAGAATTGTTAAAAATAGGGTTTTTCAGGTAAACTGTTAAAATCTTATTCTACTGAACTATAAGTTTAAATTAATTTTTTTTTACTCGAGCGTGACGATCGGCCAGATGTTTTGTGATCAGGGGTGTGGTCCAAGAATGGAAACGCGTCTAAACGAGCAAAAATCAGCGAGGATAGGCAGACAAGTATGATAACTATCAATCAATATTTCTGCAACTTTTAGGTCTGTGTGATTTCAATAATGTCAAGGCTGTTTAATAAGGTCTTGTTGGGCGAGGTGCGTGTATCGGCTTATTTGTTAGTGCCTTTTGTGATTTTTTTTTATTGTTCTAGTCCGTCTTTGCGATCATCGGTCCTTTTTTCTTTTTAATTGGTGGTGTTTTGCAAATAGTAAATGATGTTTTTAACAGTTATTCAGTGTTAGATAGGTTATGTACGTCGGGTTGTATGTTTTCAAGTATATTAATTTTTTTCGTCCTTTTTCTATGTCGAGTAGTAAGTAGTTTCACGCTTGTCCGTTTTGTTGAGGGTTTGAGATGGTTTTCTCTGAGTGAATCATGTAGTTTGATTTTACGTCATTGTCCTTAAACAAACGTCCTGTCTATCCGATGTTTTTCTCTACATACATAGCGTCTCATGGCGTAGCATCGAGTAAGTGTGTTTCTGGCTTGCTATTTCTGTCAAGCGGGTTGGCTTTATCAATGTTTCCAATTGTGGCCTTCAGTGCTGTTTTAATATGTAAGTTATGATATAGATTCGTTAGTTTCTATGTTTTTCACGCTATTTATGTGACTAGTGCTAATCGTTATATTAATTACAACATGTTATTTTAATGTAAACCAAATTAAACGAGATCAAAAATGCATAAGTTTTTATAAACATTGTTTAATTAGATGGTTAGGAGTAAATTAACAATTAGTAAATTAAAAACAATTAAGTTTAATAAACAATTTATTACATGGTTGTGCTCATAAAATAACTAATTTAGAGTCTGTTTTTACTATGACGTTTGTGTGTGTGTGTGTGTGTGTGTGTGTGTGTGTGTGTGTGTGTGTACGTACTTTGTTTATTAATTTGTTCGCTATGAGCGTGGTTGGGTTATAATGTTTTAATAGATTATGAATAAGGCAATGATGTCTTTTACACTCGAGCCAAAAAAATATAAATGTAACAAGATATCATTGATGTTTTGGTATAGTAGTCGGAAACATCCAGTTCTTATTTAATCAAATGTTTTGAAATACATTTGAAACATTTTGGATATATTATTTAATAAAAACTTAGTTTCTGGCTACAATCCCAAAAAAGTGACCACCTGAAAGTGGATATTTTTAATTATCTGTTAGACAATCCTCTGTTGATTACCTTACAACAATATTTGGCCCGTTTTAAAGGATTAGAGGTAAATAAAACACAGTTAAAATCTCCCGCTTGTGTTTACAGTTGGATTTTGTAAATAAATCTTCGAATAGTCAGTCTCTTCTTTGCTGATTTTTCTGTAAAGCTTCTTTGTTCCGGTAGTTTGATTTTTTTAAAAAGTTGTACCAATTTGTTTGAGTGATGGTTTTAAGTGATACAGATTTGGCTAGAATCATAGCATTGTTGGAAGATGGAAGAAGTCAAGCTTACGTGGCCAGGATGGTTAACATTAAAAAATTAATATCTTTCAATTAATTAAGGTATTTAGTTGAGATAAAAAAGTCAGTGTCACGAGCGGGATTCGAACCCACGACCTTCGGCCAGATACGCTGCTGCTCTACCACTTGAGCTATCTTAACTTCGATCCACTCGGACACTAACTTCCCATCTCAACCCCACCTTTTGAATTTTCCCTCCTTTTTGCCATTTTTCAAATGTCGTGTAATCTATTTGATTCTCGGTGACAAATGAAATGGCCACGGACGCTTGAAAAATGGCAGTGGATCGAAGTCACGATAGCTCATGTGGTAGAGCAGCGGCGTATCTAGCCGAAGGTGGTGGATTCGAATGCCGCAGGTGACACTGACTTTTTTATCTCAACTAAAACCCTTAATTAATTCAAAGATATTAATTGGTCAAGCGGACCACGAAAACTAGTGAATTACAAAATTAAATTGAAGATTCTCTTATTAAAAAAAAAAGTGAAATTTTTACAGTCACAAAACTTAGGCGATTATGCCACAAAAGTTATTTATTTTTTATAATTTTCAGTTAATTAATGATGGTTAAGAACAAATCGAGATCTCAAGCACATTTGAGGGGTGTGGAATTGGATCAGCCGGATCAACTCGGCCCCTCTCCAATCATATTCTACAGATCATCTTCGGCCAACGCGCGACATCAATTTACGAACTGTAAGGCGAAGACTTTCAGGAGCTGGATTTCGTGAGAGAAAAACTTCTACCGATCCAGAACTTCTGACAAGGCACAGAACAGCTCGGTTAAGTTTCGCAAGAAATCACATCAATTGGTCTGAGCAATATTGGACTAAAATCTTGTTTTCGGAAAAGTCAAGGTATTGTTTGAGGTCTTCTTATGGCCAAGAGAAGGTTCGGAAAGCGATATATCCCCGCAACATTTTCACTCCAGAGAAGCTATGGAGGTGGTGGTGATATGGTTTGGCAGGCATTTCTATGGCAGGTCGGATAAACTTGATCTTCATGGAGAGTTACCTACGAGCTGTGCGATAAATTGAAGATATGTTGTCAGAAAAAGCTGTTCCTTATAAGCCACTAATTGGCGGCTGTTTTATTTTATGTATGACAATGCCCCACACAGTTGTCATCGTTGGTAACTATTTGGAACGTGCTTCAATTCAATGTTTGTAGTGGAAAAAGTAATTATCTGGAAAATAACCCAATGATGCCAGATAATTTGCAGGAATTAAGAAAGGCGCTGTTGGAGGAGTATGAAAATATTCCACAGCATGCATTCAAAACCTCATAAAATTAGGCCACGTCGAATGTCATCAACGCAAGAAGAGGAAATACTCCGTAGTGAATTGAATATTTTCTTCATTGTTTTCTTTCCTAGCAACTTTTTGGTAAAAATGTTTTACCCAGTTTTTTATTTATTTAGTAATATCTTATATTTTTCTTTAAAAATATCCAATGAACAACAAAAAATAAAAATTATAACAAATGCAAGTATTTACTCAAAAAACGAGGATGGCCACTTTTCTCGCCTCCCAGTGTATATAGTTATATTGATAATGGGGTAATTCAATGCAAAAAATAATAAAAATCTATTAAAGCGGAAATTATTGAAATGCTTTTGACCCAGATTCAGAACATTCAGATCCATAACGGCTGTTTATACCTAAGTCGTGATCTCCGATTTTTAAATCTATTTAATGAAATTTGTCTTGTTTGCTCGGGAAATAGGAAGTAGATCTCTCGATAGGAAAATGGAGCACGTCGCAATTACAGTGCTAAATCCTCCGAGGTCCTTATGTCATTCGATCGGAAAGATTGGAAATTGGGCTTTGATCGGAAAAAGTCATCCGGCCTGCCCTTTGATATTAGAGGAGTTGAAGTTAATGCTGTTCACTTTGTATAATTTAAAAACAGAGCTAGGTAATAATCGAGGGAAAATTGGCAATCAGCTACGTTTTATATGACCATTTTTTCTTATAATTATGTTCGTTGTTTTAAAATTAAAGCCTAATGTAAACACTACAAGCTAATGTATTTCTCTTTTACTTTTAATAAATGACAGCATTTATTATTTTATCTTCACTCAACAAATATTTGTTTGCAGTACTTTTGATATTGATTGAAGAACAAGAATATTTATGTAAAAATGTTGGGTCAAAAATACTAACCTTATTTATTAAGTATGGGTTGATTGAATCGGCCAGCAGGCTATTCGAACCTTAATTTTTTTTTGTACAAAATACGTTTATTGTACTCTATGATTAAATCCAGTAGCTCACAAATTGTCAGCACTTAGAAGTTAGGATTCGGATTACCTATAAACTATTTTGTACTCTGTCTTATGAAATATAATAATTAATAAAATGATAAGACGTACAAAAAATTAAAACCATAATGTGTTTTGCCAGGGAAGAAGATTTGGATTTAAATTGCGTCCAGATACATGCTGTGAAGTTGTTAAGCAGTAGTGTAAAGACGTACAGGTTGCCCAAACATAGCATAAACAATGCCAAATATAAGAAAATGTCACTCATTCTGGATTGTGGTCTTTTATAAAGTTGCATGTTGATTAAATTCGTTGTCGTTTATGTCAAGATAATTGATGTATCAAACAGTAATAATTTCCAATAGAAGAATAAGTACATACATAAGATATAATCGGAAGATTCCAAGCGGCTGCCACCACAGCTTCTTCCCTGCAAGTTCCATCTGGGCCGATGAAGGCGACGGTACCGCTGTCTCGCATCACCGTCATCACCCTGATCGGAAGGGTCGTCAGGGACGACGAACGGCCGTTCTGAGTGCCAATGTCCGCGGCGATGAACTTCAGCTGCCTTCCGGGGAGAAGGTTCGGATCCGAATTGACAGCCTGGATCGCCAGGGGTAAGGCGCCGAGGCCGACCTGGAAAAAATAATCTGGCATGAAATATGTAATAGGTTTGAACATGGAGAGCAATAGATTTATGTTGACTTTGCAGTTTGGCCGTTTACGATCATGTTTTCATTGGTTTGGCCTGTCTGTAGGTGACTGAAGCGCCTGAAAGTCAAAACCAGTAAGAACAAGTGACCAAGGTTATCGAAAACGAACAAACTACACAGGTTCATCACCCTGCAGACCTCGACAAAAATCTAACACTTTATCTAAAATTGTTAAAACTGAGCATTATTTGTAAATTTAGAGTATGATAACGAAAATTTTTTGGTCTGTCAGGTGCGTATCGGCAGTTCACCATCTTTTGTGGCCTGCCAATAGCCAAGTTGAATAAGTGAAAAATGGTTGGACACGACAAACTACAAATTCGTCTTAACTTTAATGGCCCTTCTTCATTATGGCCCAAGCACGCATTTTGGGGGGGGGGATGGCATGTAGAGGCCCATATTGGCGAAGGTTGAAAATGGTTTTGGAAACATTGACTTTGGGAGCGGTCGATAGGTGTCCTTTCCACACACTGGGCCAACATTGGTCGGCCATTGTTTGTTTCCAAGCAAGTTTCTAACAATAACATGTACATAGCAGTTATACACTCTAGTCAAACACAAAGATGCAGCAGCGATTTACTCGACCTCGATATCCATCACGGCACAGGAAAAGTAAGCAACTATAGGCCATTGAGGCCATGCTGGCCCAATCTTGAGAATGTATTGACCCAATGTGTGGAGCTAAACCCATGGTCAGCGTGACCAATGTCTATCATGGCCAATAGTGTAGTGGGGCTATAATAATATGTGCCAAAAGGTGTTTGATTCTGGTTTGCGATTCCTCGTAGATTTGGTATGCCAGATGTGTTTTGGCATTTTGACATTTTTATTGAACTATCAGCTGTTTTCCAAACACTACAAATAATAGTTTCTAAATTGTTTGCTACTTGTAATCGTAAATCCGTCATTTGGTCTTTGCTGTTCATTTTGGTCGTTTAATTTAAGGATAATTTAAGATTACGGCTTGGCAAATTTTATATGAATCTGCAGAAGAAGGATCAAAAATGTCGAGTAATGATTGCAAATCTTCTCCATCCTGGAAAGTTTCCTTTGATAGGAAAGTTTCCAGTAGTCAGCGTGATTGCGAGATGAGTTAGCATCTTGCCATCAACTTTTCAAAGTTACTTTTCACAACCCGCGAGCAAAGTTAGTATAAATAATTTAACAAAAAAAATGTTTCGAGAACAATTTTTCTTGTACTTATTGTACTACCGTCAACGCTAAGACGATTTTATCAACGTTCTATATGATAAAAATTCCAGTAGCTCCATGGACGCAAAGTTTTCGAGAAACGTTATTGTAACTTTGTGTAATTGCTCGTGCTTTTGTTGATTTTTCTTTCATAGGTAGGTCTGGCAATCACATTCTTTCTTTTTAACTTTCTTGTTTGGGCTAGGCAGTTGATAGCTGACCAAGCGATAAAATTTCGATGAATGAAAACTATAAGGGTCTCACCTTGGCAAAGTATTTTATTATAAAATTTTTTAAAATATTTTTGTAATTTTTCTTACAATTATGAGAAATTCACTATTGATAACAACCTCCGGCAGATGGATCTTTATTCATTTCGTTATTTTAGTTTAATTATCTTTTACATATGTTCAGGTTTATAAATAACTGTATATATATATAGTTTGTAAAAGTTAGTTTTTCTTTGACGTTAGTCCTAATTCTTCTCAAGGATGGAGCTCAAAGAAACAACCGTTTCCTCATAGACAGTTGAGTTGACAGAGTTTCTTCCTCCAAATGGTTAAAAAATGTCTGAAATTTTATTAAGTTGTTCCTTGGCTTTCTGTAAATTTTTGACCTACTTCAATACTTTGTTAGATTAAATAATTTCTAAATTCAAAACGAGACAAAGTAGTAAAAGAAATTATAAATTTTATTATGAATAATAAAGAATACTACAATACACTTACATTAATATTACATTTATATAATTTTTGTATTAAAATTGCGCTTGATTGTTATTTATAAACTTATGATATTTTTAACGAAAAATTAAAAATTAGATTTTATATAATTATGTCGTCTAAGGTTAACTGTACAATAAGCTTAACGTACGCTTAATTTCAGCATAATTGTGATGCAATAAAAGGTTAATTATATATTTTCAAAATGGCTATGGTATAGTAAATTTGTCCAACCCAATTTGTATTATTTGTTATTATTGTAATTTTTTATTAGCTATGAGTAAAATCATTCAATATACGTGGTTCACAATTTAAATAGTTTGGAATTATAATTTGAACGGTTCAAAGGTGGAAAGAGAATTATGTTTTCAAATGTCTTTGTGAAGTTACTTCTATTTGTTCTATAATAAAAACGTAAGCTTTCGTGCCCATGATTTGCATTTATCCCATCTTGATTTATTTATAATCGACAATAATAGGGATTTGCCAACTGTTTTGTTTGTGTTAAGCGATATATGCTTAACTAGCATTTTAAATTAATATATTTCGTTTTAACCCTTCTTTAGTTTGTAATTTGGTCTTTAACGATCATCCTGGTCTATATTATCTATCTTCTGTCTATCCTCCTGGTCTAATTGTCTTCGCTATGTTCTTCCGTCAGACGCATTTCGGCATTTCTATGTCGTCAATGTTGGGTGATTTCTGTCATGTCAAGTCTCTTTAATAAAGTCATGGGGTGCGGGCTACGTGTTTCGCCTTTATTTTGTTTGTTGTTACCTTTGATGGAAGTCCGCGTTTTCTATTGTTCCAGGGTGAACCCTTGTTGAGCTGGCAACGGGTCAATTATTGGGTCCGTCTACACTACGCATATGGGCTTTTAATAAATTCTGGGTTCTACACTGAAGATCGCGCAAAGCCTTTGAATGAACTCGAAACTCGCGAGTGTAGGCGGACCCAATAAGTAACCCAAGGCCAGTTAAAGTATAGTGTTTTGAGTTGTATGTGAACAGCAGTTGTGTGTGCGACTTACAAGTTTTCGATTGTGTTCGTCCCATTTATAAGCGTGTTGTAGTTTCATGCTTGACCGTATATTAAAGGTTCTTGTTGGTTTTCTTATAGGCGAGTCGCATAGTTTGATTTTCTGTTATTCTACTAAACGATCATATATTATGTCCTTTCTATTTTTTTATTTGTTATTTATTTTTTGTCTGTCCAAATATTTGTTTTTGCCATATTGTGGCGTATATGCCACTTTGGGTCAAGTGGGTTTTCGATGATGTCTTAGTAGTTTTCCCGATTATGTTCATAATCTTTATTGTTGCTTTAATTACTAATTTGTAAATTAGATGTGTTAGTTTGTACTTTTTTTACCTTTATGTGTAAATATCGTCCATTTGTGTTTGTTTTTATGGTGTTTGTGTGATGTATGGTTTGATTATGATTTCGTTCTGAGTGTTTGTGTTGTAGCCGTTTTGTGCGCTACGGTTTTTACTGTTTTAAATACGTTTTTCGTATTTCTCTTCAATCAGTACCGTTTTAGTCTATTTTTGACTTATGTTGAGTCGGATGGATTTTGTCAGTGGCTGTTTGAGTATCATAAAAACGAGTGTAGACGGACCCAGTGTATCAATGAAAGTTCGAATGTTATACTCATCAAAAACTATAACTTCCTGTTCTATTTAAAGTATCCTCTTTAGTTAACTTTGTAATTAAACAATTGTTTTAACTATGTAAAACTTGCACTGTTAAAACTTTGTGTATGGAAGTATTTTGCTAAAAATTACGATGTCATATAGTCTGTTTTCGTGAAGAAGTGTGCTATTTCATGTAAACAAAACGTGTTCTTGAATATGGCAGAGATAATAGAAGGACAGAATTGTTCTAACGTGCTGAATATAAGGAATTCTGGCAAATGCATTCTTCTGGGATACATCACATCGGCTTCCCGATAGTATTATGCCCTCTAAAAATTAATTTATAGATATATTTTGCATGTACATATTGCATTTCTCAATTATTAAAAAACTATTGTAAAATAATTCCATCTTATCGTTAAGTAATTACAAGACCATTTTGAGACTTGATGGTAAAATGTGGCTTCTCTAGCTAACTATTTTCAGGTCAATTCAAATAAATGGTTTCGCCGTTTTATAAACAGGACTTCGTTCTGCTTTTGTTTGCCGGGCCGTGGAATAAGCCTTCATTCCGTGCCAACCGCACATAACTGCAAAGCTGGTTTAGCAGTGATTGAGACGCATCATTTCTTCCCATTGAAAGACATCTACCTAATTAAATTTAACGCTTTAATTTAGTTTTAATTGCAACCGAAGTTCGCCAATTTTAATTTCCGACTGTACAAAATCGAGTTCACTTTGTTGGAAATGGACAACTTTCTAATTACAATTGAAAACACAACGACTTATTTTGTTTCGTTTATGTCTTTAATGAACGCCAATTAATACATTTTTGTTATATTTCATTGTAAATTTACCCATTTTTTTTATGATTATGAGAGAAAATTCCTTTTGTTGGTTGATTTTGATTTTTTTTAAACTTATTCCTTGATTTGAACGGTAACTTTTTATAGGCAATTAGATTGCATTAAAAGAAAACCCTTAGCGTTGACTGTTTTTAACGCTTATAATTATTATTTATTATATTAGCGTTATATTTTTAATATTTTAATAATTTTTTTTTTAGTAAATAATTTCAAGTGAACGAGAGATGAAGTTGGCGGATATCACTTGGGTTTTCCTTAGAGCTCAGTTTGTTTACCATCCATTTACAATGTATTACACAACTTTTCCACGTTCTTACATAAATCCAATTGTTTTCTTTCTCGTCGTATTTGTCCTGGGGCTATGTCGGATAGGTCGCTGAAACAGTCTTTATTCCCATTCCTTAAATGACAGACCTTAATTAAAATTCTCAAAAATTATCCGGATTTAACTGGAATTTTTCATTTACCCAAGGGATCATAATATTTTTTTTAAATTTCCAGTACAGAAATTACTTCAATAACAAACACTCTTAATATCTGTTCCCCATTTGTTTTGTCAAACCTTACAGGCAAAGAAAGACACGTTATAACAGGGGTGCTCAAACTTGAACTGCTGGCGATCTACCTCAATATTTTTAGACTACTTACGATCGACTCTGAGAGGCTGCAAGTGTGTGTGATGCAGGGTTGTCGTACATACACGATACATACCGTAGCATATATAGATATTAGCTTTCTGCACAATATAGGTACATTATTTTAGTCAAGGTTTGGGTTAGGTTTAGTTAGGTTCTTCTCTACAATATCAATGAAAAAACTCATAGTTATTCAAAATTGCGAGTTTATTGGTTGTTACAAAACAAAAGAGTTACATATGGTGTTAAACTTAACTAAGGAGTGGCTTTGGATGTTGAAGCGTGGCACTGCATGTCCTCAGCATACTTTTCATAAGATGGTACGTAACCACTGAGTGCTAATCGCAAGCATGATGACA